GCACTTCGGATTCTGACCGGATATAGTAGACCATCCGGGTCTCTTTGGGACACTCATTTCAACATACTACGATTTGGGACGTACTAATTCTATTTTCGAATACTATTTAGGACGGATAGTATGCGAATTGGGACGCAGACTAACTACTAGACATATATAGTTCAGTACCTGTTGCATTCTGGGAAGGAAAAAGAGATGTGGATGACAGCGGCAGAAGCAATATCATAAATACAGATATAATCATGCATGAGAAAGATTCCTGCAATGAGAAAAATATACATATACAAAGTTATATTTATATATATATATATATACACACACACACACACAATCTATAATTATTGTACATTAATAAACAATCAGAAAACTACACTCAATTTTTTTTTCATGTGTAATAATTATAGTGTATAATATATTAATATTATTTTGCACAATTGTTGCATACTTTTGTAATAATTAATTTTTATATATAATTATTGCACATACATGCAACTATTATACAAAAATAATTTAAATATTAAAATAATAATTAATCAAATAACTACAAAACTATTATTATACATGAAAAACTATTTTTAAAAAACAATTAAAAAAATCTGAAATTTTTTGTATGGTTGTTGATTGTTTTTTTCACGTGAAATAATTACAGTATGGTTGCTACTATTGCAACTATTATACAAAAACAATATAAATATGAAAATAATTAATAAAAAACTATACATAACATTGTAAATATATTTAAAAATTATATATATATATATATATACACACACAAACTATAAAAATACACAAATATCCAACTATTGTACAAAATAATATTAATATAAACATTTAAACAATATATCAGTGTACTTCTTAGTTGTACTTACCAAGCATGTCGTATCCATCTGTACGGTCTTGTATTCTCACTTTTTGTCTTGTAAAATATACAACATTTCAAAATAAAACTATGCGTTGCGTGGGCTTGTGTACAGAAGAGCAGTGGTCATGTACAAAAATACAATAAATAAATGGCAATGAATGCAGAAAAATAATGTTATTTAGTATTTAGAGTATTTATACATCACAATCTGAACAGTTTGAGGATGTGCGACTGTACAAATCAGTGTAATTACGTGTATCAGAAGGTTTGTGTCGGCCGTGTGTGAGGGGACTGACTTTTATACGCTGGCTTCTGTCCGCAGGTATGTGCAGAATTCGGTTATCTGTGTGACTGGTGACAACAATTCAACATCAAACGATCCCCAACACACGGAGCGAATGATCCAAACCCATCATCCTCTATCTAATGGGGTAATCGACCCAATCACTCCTCGTGCAAGTCATATAGAGCCACAGCGCACGGTTTCACCTTCTGAACAAAACGTGAGCAGTGCTAAAGGCATTGCTAAGGTGTTCTAGGGTGTAATATTAGTATTTTTTAACCCGATTTCTGTCCAGCAGGTGAAAATGATGCATCTGATCACTTGGTAAAGTAACAGCACAGCTCTCCTCAACAACACACATGATGATTTGAGGAATCGTTCATGTCTGGAGCTCAAACGCTGCAGGATGTGTAATACTTTTGGTAATGAGTTTGTTGGCAATATTTCCAGTAATGCCCCTTCTTTCTGCCCACCTGCGGATGACACTTCTGCTGGCACGGGTACGATCAGATTGAAGACACACCTGGAACAGTGGAGTCAGTGGAGCAACAGAGAAAAACAGACGGTTCTGAAAGTCTGATAAGAGAAATTGGAAAGTGAGGAGAACAGAGTCGGGGATTCCAGCTTGATGACTTTAAAAAGCCTGTTGTTCTCGCCGCACACGAGTTTGACGCACAGAAGCGAATAACTTTACACGTCTGATTGGACCACGTGCGCCACATACAGAGGAAACCAGTGCCAAGCTGGTGTTTTTGTAACACAGCATGACCATTTACCATTCTATGGAAGCTTGTTTCCGCCACTGGAAAAAAATAATAAAAAAAATAATTGCGACTTTTTCTCTCACAATTGCGAGATATGAAGTCAGAATTGTGAGTTATCAGGCCAATTCTAAGGAAAAAAAAGACTGACTTTTTTCCCCTCAGAATAGTTTATATCTCACAATACTGACTTTACAACACGCAATTGCGACTTTATATCATGCATTTCTGACTTTATATCTCACAATTCTGACTTTATTTCACGCAATTCTGACTTTATTTCACGCAATTCTGACTTTATTTCACGCAATTCTGACTTTATTTCACGCAATTCTGACATTATTTCACGCAATTCTGACTTTATTTCACGCAATTCTAACTTTATTTCACGCAGTTCTGACTTTATATCACGCAATTGCGACTTTATAACACGCAATTGCGACTTTATATCACGCAATTCTGACTTTATATCACGCAATCCTGACTTTATATCACGCAATTCTGACTTTATATCACGCAATACTGACTTTATATCTCGCAATTCTGACTTTATATCACGCAATCCTGACTTTATATCACGCAATCCTGACTTTATATCACGCAATTCTGACTTTATATCTCGCAATTCTGACTTTATATCACGCAATTCTGACTTTATATCACGCAATTCTGACTTTATATCTTGCAATTCTGACTTTATATCACGCAATCCTGACTTTATATCACCCAATCCTGACTTTATATCACGCAATTCTGACTTTATATCACGCAATTCTGACTTTATATCACGCAATCCTGACTTTATATCACGCATATCTGACTTTATATCTCGCAATTCTGACTTTATATCACGCAATTCTGACTTTATATCACGCAATCCTGACTTTATATCACGCAATTCTGACTTTATATCACGCAATCCTGACTTTATATCCCGCAATTCTGACTTTATATCACGCAATCCTGACTTTATTTCACGCATATCTGACTTTATATCTCGCAATTCTGACTTTATATCACGCAATTCTGACTTTATATCACGCAATCCTGACTTTATATCACGCAATTCTGACTTTATATCACGCAATCCTGACTTTATATCCCGCAATTCTGACTTTATATCCCGCAATTCTGACTTTATATCCCGCAATTCTGACTTTATATCTCGCAATTCTGACTTCATATCTCGCAATTCTGACTTTATATCACGCAATCCTGACTTCATATCTCGCAATTCTGACTTTATATCACGCAATTCTGACTTTATATCACGCAATTCTGACTTCATATCTCGCAATTCTGACTTTATATCCCGCAATTCTGACTTTATATCTCGCAATTCTGACTTCATATCTCGCAATTCTGACTTTATATCTCGCAATCCTGACTTTATATCACGCAATCCTGACTTTATATCCCGCAATTCTGACTTTATATCTCGCAATTCTGACTTCATATCTCGCAATTCTGACTTCATATCTCGCAATTCTGACTTTATATCTCGCAATCCTGACTTTATATCACGCAATTCTGACTTTATATCACGCAATTCTGACTTTATATCACGCAATCCTGACTTTATATCACGCAATTCTGACTTTATATCCCGCAATTCTGACTTTATATCACGCAATCCTGACTTTATATCACGCAATCCTGACTTTATATCACGCAATCCACTTTATATCACGCAATCCTGACTTTATATCACGCAATTCTGACTTTATATCACGCAATCCTGACTTTATATCACGCAATCCTGACTTTATATCACGCAATTCTGACTTTATATCACGCAATCCTGACTTTATATCACGCAATTCTGACTTTATATCCCGCAATTCTGACTTTATATCACGCAATCCTGACTTTATATCACGCAATCCTGACTTTATATCACGCAATCCACTTTATATCACGCAATCCTGACTTTATATCACGCAATTCTGACTTTATATCACGCAATCCTGACTTTATATCACGCAATTCTGACTTTATATCCCGCAATTCTGACTTTATATCTCGCAATTCTGACTTTATATCTCGCAATTCTGACTTTATATCCCGCAATTCTGACTTTATATCTCGCAATTCTGACTTTATATCCCGCAATTCTGACTTTATATCTCGGAATTCTGACTTTATATCTCGGAATTCTGACTTTACATCACGCAATTCTGACTTTATATCTCGCAATTCTGACTTTATATCTCGCAATTCTGACTTTATATCTCGCAATTCTGACTTTATATCACGCAATCCTGACTTTATATCTCGCAATTCTGACTTTATATCTCGCAATTCTGACTTTATATCACGCAATCCTGACTTTATATCACGCAATCCTGACTTTATATCTCGCAATTCTGACTTTATAACACGCAATTGTGAGAAAAAGTCAGAATTTTTAGATAAAAAGTCGCAATTACCTTTTTTATTATTTTACATTCTGGTGGAAACAAGCTTCCATTCAAATCTAGTGTCACTGTGAATAAAATCACTTTAAATTATTGCTAGTAGTCTCTATAAATTATAAATGATATTCGTTTGCATGAAGAGCGAAAGAGATACTGATTTGTGCATTTAAAGGGATACTTTATACACGATTATAAATTAACATGATACTCATATTTATTGTGCTTTTCATTAAGAGCAGCCTGATAAACCAGATGGCATTAGTTACAAAAAGCTTTAGTTCATACATTCACATGTATTTATAATTATCTCTGTTAAAAGAACACAAGTCTGTTAGTTTTTCTTTTGTTTGATAAGGCCCATGTTTGTTCTCAAATACTTGCAGATGAAAATCACATTAAGACAGTTAAATAGATAAATATGCATTTATTTATTTTCCATATCTATTTAAGGAATATTGTATATATATAATCCTCATATAAATATGGAAAACAATAATGCAGATCGGATATAGAATCTAGAAGCATCTTTACATAAATTGTTGCATCAATTCAATAGGATAATTTATGTACAAATGGATTTTTGAATGATATTTCATTAAAAAGGCCCATTGTTAGTACTGTCAACACCTTATTAAATAGCTAAATTGGAAACAGGAGACGAAATACTGAAGAACAGTTGACGAAATACTGAAGAACAGTTTAGAGTCATGTGACACCAACGCAGCACTTCCATCAATAGAGTCATATAAGTGCTGGTGCGAAAAAGCAACGGACTGGAATCTGTGTTAGACTGTGACTGAAAAGGTCCAGTGACCTGAGATGATCTGATCTAGAAACAGCCATGCAGAGCTGATCCCAGAGCAGTGGTTTAATGACCACAGAGAGTGCAGTGTGTCCATACTGAGAGCAGCACGGGCTTCTGGAGGCATACGCAGAGATCGGCCGGACACGGGGTCTCAAGCGTGCTGAGACCACAGAAACCGGTCACAGCGCTCCAACATGGTCTGAATCAGTGCTCTAAAAGGACAGTGAGAGAAAATGCATGAGAACAATTTTTTTTAAATGGCATATAATAAAATACTATCATTCTGCTTGCTATTTACACTGCCTACTATTTTTCAAAAACGGAAGGGTATATTATCATACTTCGCTGTCTACTATTTTCCAAAACCAATTACATGGGAATGGATTATTGGCATAATGCAAAGTATAACTGTAGACTGCCTACTATTTTCCAAAACAATGTTTAAATTAGAAATAGCATACAACCATACTACTCTTACTATTTTTTAAATATCTTTATCTGGCAGAAATAGTCATAGTACAATGCTAGTTTTTTATTCCGAATTCAATAAATATGTTCAGAATGAACGAATAGCATACTTTGCAGTATATACTGCACACAAACTACTAGTTTTTATAATCAGTGTGTTCTGCATGGAATACTAGCGAACTGCTAACTCAAAACTACATTACTTAACATTTGAAGTGGATCAAAAAAGCTAATCAAAGTTGTCCTAAGACAAGAAGGGGTTTTGTTCAAAATTCATGCATGACTTTGATGAAAGGTTTTGATCCACTTCAAATGTTGACTATACTGCATACTACTGTTTTTCATGCTCTCACCTTTGCCGCTTCTCAGCCATACGCAGCAGATCACAGACCAGCGTGGAGCGTGAACTGAGGTCCACCTGTATCCCGCGTTCCTGGAGGGCCGCCAGGGCCTGGTCCGGCCCGAAGACTTTGACCAGACGCAGGATGATGTTCTCTGGGCTGACCCGAATGCTCCAGTCATTTGAACTGTTTGATAGGTCAGAGGAACCATCACTCGTGCCATTACTGCTAGTGTCGTCTGAACAGGATCCATTGGTGCTGCTGGGCAGAGATGAAGTGGGCGGCACTTCATCGACTGAACTGATTTGCTGTGAGAGCTGGAGTAGCAAAACCCACTCATCAAGAGACTGAGGAACAATACCTACAGAAAGACAAAAAGCGATATTTTAGGGTGAGTTCACACGACAACGATATGTTTAAAACTGCCGTTTTTCCTTTGAGTTTTCCACGTACAGACGACACCATTGTCAAAACGATCCCCATTCACACGGATCCACGAAAACGACTAAAAACGCTGTATTCTGCTGCCAGGCCGTTAGATGGCGATGAACCACTATAGACTGAACACGTAATACGCATGTGCGTGACGTCATCGTCTTCAGAGATTTACGTTTTTGTTGTTTACACTGAGACCGTTTTCAGGCACCCAAAAGGCTGTTGTCGTGTGAAACAACCACCTAGATATTGCATAAAAAGTTTTACGATTTTAGTTGAAAAGGGTATCGTGTTAACAGCTCCTTAGATATGGAATAAATGCTGCAGAACTGATTCATGGGTTATTTAAGGCCTAGTCCACACGTATTTTTATAAACATATTTTTTCCTTTTTTCGTAAAAAAAAAAAAAACGGCGTCCACATGAAAACGCAAAAAAACGCTATTAAGCTCCGTCAAGAGCATTACAAACCAACAGGTGGCGATATAACCCTAACCGTAAAGCCATGTTGGCCAATCAGAAACCTGGAAAAAAGGTTATTACCGTTCCTGTTCTGACTTACAAGCCAAAATCTCCCACGGTTTTACAGTCTACATGACAACACTGCAACCGGAGTTTCTAAAAAACCTTCACACTGGCAGGAGTTTTCAAAAAAGTTTGGTTTTAGTGACCGGATACTGTGTTTGCTGCGGTTTTGAAAATACCCGTGTTAGTGTGGACAGGAACTAAGTTATCAGACAGACAGTTCTTGGTTAGCGAATTAGACTTTGTATTGACAGTCTCTCTTCATCTGTTCATCTAAAAGACAGTTTTGAGTATCTGTGATTGATTTACCATCATCCTCCTCTAGAAGCGTCATGTCATCCAGTCTGCAGATGGCGCTGAAAGCCTCTGCTCGCCGCTGCAACTCTCTGCACAGGTACAGGTAACCCATCCAATACCTGAGAGACAAATAACACAGTCACAGTTTATACAACTACCCATTTTGATTGAATTCTATCCATTCGAATTCCACACTCACCCTTGAGTTTTACACATCTCCAGCATCTTCTGTTTGGAGGTCAGATCAGCAGGCAAGCGGATCAGCAGAGACAGCAGACGCCCATAACCCCAGCTGAAGAAATGAGAGTGCCACCTACAGCACAGGAGACAATATAATAATCAGCGAAGTAGGAATATAAAATATTTACTCCCCGTTTCACAGACAAGGCTTGAGTCTAGTCCCAGACTAAAATGCATGTTTAAGCTGTTTTAACTGAAAGCAATTTAAAATATGTCAGTGTCATTGTTTTGTCTCAAGAGGCACACCAGTAATGTTTTATTCTAAGACATGTTTATAAAAGCTAATTAGAAGTCCTAATTGAAATTAGGCCTTGGCTTAGTCTAAGCCCTGTCTGTGAAACCAGGCCATAGAATATATATATAGAGAGAGAGAGAGAAAGAGAGAGAGAGAGAGAGAGAGAGAGAGAGACATTATAGAGTACAATATATATATATATATATTAGGGGTGTAACGATACACAAACCTGACGGTTCGGTTCGTCCCACGGTTTTGAGGTCTCGGTTCGGTTCGGTTCATTTCGGTGGGGTGGGGGGGTTTAGAAAGCTAAAATTGCTTTTATTTTTTATTAAACAGTGCTTTAATGAACAAATTGTGTCCTTGTCTTTAAATTAATTCAATTACAAGTAAACGTTTCTCAAGGATAACAAAATGATCTGCTAATGCTGTAAACTACAGCCCTTACTTGCACATTACTATAACATTAAAGCTTAACAACAGAGCCTAGACTTTTAGCCTAAATGATATAATAATAATCAACACTCAAATAATAAATTGTTGGAAACATTTAAACTGCACATAAGGCAATTTTTGCATTAACATGTTTTTACTCTAATTTGTTATTGTTATATAATAATTTACACAGTTGCTGTTATTTTCATGACAACTATTTTAAACATACATTAAATAATCAAGATATCATAAACAGGTTAAGTAAAATATAATATATAGGCTAATATATAGCATTTATTTAGTGAAAGAGTTAGCAAACCAGCAAGCTGTGGACACTGATGGACTTGCCTGAGGTAAATATAAAGCTATGTGAAAAACTAAGCGTTTTATTGACGTATTTCCGCTGTTGAAACACTGATTGAGTGTTTACACGAGTTATGATGCCTTTCAGTAAGTATACTGTATCTTTCAACATACCTTCGGGTGTCCATTCATGTTTATTCTGTAACTGAGGAAGAGATGATCGCGCTCCGCGCTGCCGCATGCATACAGTGATATCTGTCACGCCACATCTAAGAGCGCCAAAACGGCATTTATTGTTTGCATTTCGTGATCAAATAGACATAATTTGAAAGATTACACCTTGCTTATTATCAAAAGTAACAAAACACTGAGCTTATTGCGATTATATGTGGTTAATGGTGGTTAGGCAACAGCCCTGTATTCGTTGTGTAGTGTACACATAACACATGAGGTGCAATGAGCCGGGGCTGGGCGGGGCAGCAGGGCGTGTTCGGTTCGCCATGAGAGTATCGCGATACGTATCGTGGGTGGTGTATCGCGGTTTTTCGGTTCGGTTCAAATATCGTTACACCCCTAATATATATACATACATATAAACTTTCAGTGCATAATTTTTTTGGGGACAACATTTGTTTTACAGACAAAAATCGTTTTGTGTACCTGGGCTGTCCGTCAGGAGTGAGTGTGTCATCCCTTAGTGGGGCATCATGGGATAACGCCAGTTCCAGCCAATCCTGTCGCAGAGTTTCTGGCTGGAGAAGAGAACCCAAGAAAGACAACCTGGGAGATGACAAAAAAAATGTATATAGATTATTTTATATGTTCAAAAACAAGAATACAATATCACAGTGTAAAAATGACACTTACACAATCATGACTAACACACATTGTAAAACATTGTATAAATGTAACACGGCCGTACCGCTGCTGCTCGGCTCGTGATTGGACCAGATTGTCCAGATAAGGCAGGAAGTGGCTGGGTAAAGCCATTGCCATGATGTCAGAGGGGAGGATTGTGGGATAGAACTGCGGGTAGGCACGAACGGCCACCTCCCCGTGCTTCTCATAGAGTCTACAGAAAGAAAGCAAACATTACATTCAATATAAATAGTTACTTTAGAGCTTTATTAATCCCCATGGGGCAATTCATTGAAACTGTCATGGTGCTTCACATATAACACTTAACACATACATTCAAATACTCAAAACTACACAAAATAAATAAATAATAAATAAGTACAAAATGATGTATTCACACCTTTGCAGGTGACCATATTGATCATATATAGATACTAAAGGTGATAATGATACACAGGGAAACTTTTTGAGCAATGTTGCCGTTAACGGGCAACCAGATGAGACACAGGGCCCACGACCGATCTAAATTATCCAAATAGAAATGTATTGCCCATTTTCAATGGGAAAGTGCCCAAGCAACATTCGCTCGGCAAGATTGCCCTGCAACATTGCTCAAAAATGTGTATCATCACCTTAAGTGTATGTTTTGCTCTAAGTGATGTAAACTCACCTGTACAGGTGTGAGAGGAGCAGAGGTGTGTTCCAGGGCTGCAGTTCTCTCAGACTGCGCAGAGACTTTAACAGGTCGCCCTTCTGAATCACTTCCACCACCTTGCTGGCCTGAGTGAACTCTACCACCCGCCACAGATTGGTAATATTAATATTAAGGCATGACACCTCAGATGAAAAGGGTGAAAATATACAGTACAATAATGATATCACCATACTTTCAAGTTCAAGTTGATTAAGAATTGCAAACATTTTTTTATTACAGGTTTCCTGAAATTATGTTTAAATATGCAAATTAGGCATTCCCTAATTTAATATGCAATAATTATGTATATATTTCCAGACCATAAATCTGAACACTGGATTCAAAATTACTTTTTCATTTTGTTAACATATTACATTGACATATTTGGGATTTCTCTTTTTATCACTCCATAAATCATAAAATACTGTCAACTGCCAGAAACAAAACAATTTCATCATGTTTTTAGGAAAATCAGCCTTCCGTTAAAACCCTTAGAATATAGATAGGAATTAAACTGTAAAGTTTGGTGTATGTAAAGCTGCTGAAGTGGAGATTTCTGAGAAAAAAATTAAAATAGGTATTGTGATTGAAATCTACAGGTGCAAATAGATGCAATAAAAGAAACACTTAATTAAGGCTGTCAAATGATTAATCGTGATTAATCACATCCAAAATAAAAGTTTTTTTTACATAATATTTGTGGGTGCACTGTGTATAATTATTTTCTATATATATAAATACACACACATGCATGTATATTTAAGAAAAAAAATATTATTTATATATAAATTATTTATATTTATATATAATATAAATTATATATAAATCTATATACAGTATATACTTGAAAATATTTCTTAAATATATACAAGCATGTGTGTGTATTTATATATATAAAATAATTATGCACAGTGCACCCACATATATTATGTAAAAAAAACTTTATTTTGGATGTGATTAATCACGATTAATCATTTGACAGCCCTACACTTAATTAAAGGTGTATTTTAGATGTATTATTTCCAGTACTCTTATAAAAAGCCAAATATAATGTTTTTTCCCCCTGTAGTGTCTTTCCCTTGCCTTAGCAGAATTGCAATAAAAAGCAGGTTTATTATAACAGTTACTATTCATTTTTGTGAAAACGTACCCAGCATGCCAGCGATGTATGCCTTCAGCACCTCTCGGTGCTCTCTGTATCTCAGCATACACATCTTCCTCACTCTCTCCTGGTCCAACAGGAAGAAGAACCTCCTCAGGAACACACACACACTTCCGACCCCTCCTCTACCGGGGCAGCCCATCTCCAGATAAAGACAGGCCAGCTGTGAGAGGTCAGCCTGGAGGTCAGGGGGCAGAGGTTTGGGGGAAAACAGCTGGATTAATTCAACATGGTTAGCAAGAGGTGGGAATGACGCTCTGACTGGGGCAGTGGAACAAGGGATGGTCTCTCCAAGGTCCTCTTCTTCAGTGAGGGTTGCGGATTCATCCAGGTTAGTAGACGGCGCTGTTAAGATCTCTGGCTGAACCACGACGCAGCAGGACATTGATGAAACAAGCTCTTCCTCCTCTAGATGAGTTATTTCTCTAGGTACGCTGTGATCCTCCGGACCCAGAACCCTCTCCAGAACCGGGGCCCAGTCTTGGAGCACATCGCTGAGACAGACGGGGTCCAGTAAAACCATGGGGTTCTGGATTTGAGAGCTGTAACAGAACACATATCAACTCTAATAGCAGTTCAGAGTGCAGTAAAAGGATCAGCAACTACAGTGATTGTTTAGTCATTTCTGGAGTCATTTCTGACACGCTACAATTTATCTAAAAATATTTTAAAGAACTTGCAAAATGTTTATTTTAATTATTATAGATGCAATTTATGGTTTCACATTAATTGAGAGACTACATTTGAATATATATATATATATATATAAATATATATTAATCTGAATAAAAATCCTTGGTCACAACGCAGGTCTATTAAAAATGAACAGCAAAAGGCTAAAAAGCACTGTGGAAAAACTTGAAAAAATGGTGCATATAAAATACATAATTTCCCTTATGCATTAATGTGTTTTAAACAAAAATCTTGAGAAAGAACTTATAAAAGAACATTAATTATTGACTGCAAAGTTTTGGGTTAGTAATGTTTTTTATGTATAACTCTGTTATATTGTGAAATGTTACTATATTTTGTAAATATTACAATTTAAAACAACTGTTTTCTATGTGGATAATATGTTAAAATGTAATTTATTCCTGTGATCAAAGCTGAATTTTCAGCATTATTACTCCAGTCTTCAGTGTCACATGATCCTTCAGAAATGACTCTAATATGCTGATTTGATGCTCAATAAACACATTATTATTATTATCAGTGTTATGCTGCTTCATTTGTCTGGAAACCGTGATGCATTATATTGTTATGCATTTTAACAATATAATTCATCATTGCTGATCTTACATAATTCCATCTCTCATTAATATGTAAACATTCATTAATCATTAGCGTATAGTTGATCTGTCTGGAGCAGTAGGAAGCAACTCACATGGCTTTCTTTGTGGCGGCTCTCAACTCCTGCAGCTCAGACTCCGAGCTGGACTGCTCAGCGTTCATTCTTATGGAGAGAGAGACAATCAAAAACCACAATACAAACAATGTAACTACATAAAACCATCAATAGCAGCAGTCACACAACATTAACACACTCACTCATGCTCGCCTTCCTCTGGAAGAGGAGTCGCTGTGGCCGTGACCTCTCCTTGAACGCCTTCCCTGAGGTCGGGCCGAGGCCATAGGTCTGAGTTCATCTGAAGCGTGTTGATCTTCTCGGTCGTCTTTTTCACAAAGCTAGAGACACTGACATACACAAATTTACAATTATAAATCTCTTACAATCATAACCAAGCTCAGCAATGACAGTCCAAAACATAAGCAGCTGGTTTTCAAATAAACAACGTCCGCATACATAAAAAAACAAAGAGAAGGAGAAATAATTGGTAACCTCGCCAATCATGCGCGTAAAATGAGAGAATGTGTCAAGGACATATGTGACACAACGACAAAACAGGAAGTTACAGTTTTAAAAATAACCTGGGTATCAGCAGCTGCATTTTAATGAGCATTAGAGCTTCCTTATGAGCCAGCCAATCAGACTGTGTCTGGTGTGAAATTTAAGAGGAAATGAAATTACACTGAAAAAAGGGGGAATTTATGTGGTTTATGTGGTAAGAGTGTGTGTGTGTGTGTGTGTACCTGTCTCGAACAGCCTGCAGGGCGACTCGTGGGGGTTTTGAGCGGAAAGACAGAGGCAGAAACTGCAAGCCGAGGTCTGACCTGTCGCCCTCTCCACGCACAGACTGAGAGTCTTCAGGATAGCAAAAGGAGGAGTTGAAATGATAGAGAGATGAATGAAGAGAATGAGAATAAAGTCAGAAGATGTGGAAACAATTAAGTGAAAGCACGGAATAAAGCAAATAATAACTGATTCATCACATTACTGATCAGAAAAAGATAATCTAAGTGTTCAAAACACCAGATAAATGATTAAACTGCTGCTCACTGATGTTTTTAGTGTATTTTATTGCAAAATATTTGACATACAACACACTGACATACAATTACTACTATAAAACCATTTAAAAATTCATTTTTTTTGTCATAAGTGTAAACTGCAATATTTGTCAGTCGCTTGGTTTTTATTTTGGTCGATAGCTCTGCACGCAGGTGAATCACATTGGTTCCCTTTATTGAACATGAAATTTGTTATTAAAGATCAATTCTGATTGGCTGAGTTTGTTGCATAATGTAGATGCAAAAATTACTCTTATTTACTATCTTAATACATGTTCCTGGTGTTATTATTCTCCATGATTCATCCATGCATGTTATTCCAAATGCAAAATAATAAGAGTATGCTCTGCCTCTAAAATGGCTTTCCTTTTTGGCTGATGTCACAGTAGATAAAATGAAGTCCCACTTTACATTTTTATAACTTGTTGAATTTCCTTGCTCACTCTGAAATATGTCAAATTACTCTGAAATATGTCAAATTGGTTGCTTTAAGACACAGTGTTACAGTTTCTGTGTAGTTTTACAAGCTAAATAGTTATGTGTTGAAGAAAGTCCCTTTCTGGTCGTTAGTGAAATGTGAGTGGATTACTTCTTGTATTCAGACAAGGAATTCCCACTGAGAGAGCCGAACTCTTACTACTTCCCTTTTAGTTTTGAAATCGATCTCTCTCTGTCTCACCATTGTCCACCTGCTCTTCCTCAGTGAAATTGAACTCCTTCAGCCGCTCCTCCTCAAGCATCGATTGGTTGGCGAGGGAGCTGGCGTCATCATCTGATTGGCTGCCTCTTCGGCTGATGACGCGGTAGATGCCGCAGTCCAGAACGTTAAAGCTCTCCTGCGTAGGAAGAGTCATTTAGCATTTTAAAAATGTGTCTCTATACATATGTGACCCTGGACCACAAAACCAGTCACATGGGTCGATTTTATGAAATTGAGATTTATACATAATATGAAAGTGGAATAAATAATCTTTCCATTGATGTATGGTTTGTTAGGATAGGACAATATTAGGCAAATAAAAAACTATTTGAAAATCTGGAATCTGAGGGTGCAAAAAAATGGAAACATTGAGAAAATCACCTTTAAAGTTGTGCATTTATGTTCACATTTGTGCTGCATTCACTCACAAAAATATATATATTCTTTAATATATTTACGGAATTTCTTCATGGAATATGATCTTTACTTAATATCCTACTGATTTTAGGCATAAAAGATAAATTCGATAATTTTGACCCATACGATATATTGTTGGCTATTGCCACAAATATACCCGTGCGACTTGAGACTGGTTTTGTGGTCCAGGGTCACAAATGTCTGTGTGTTTTTGCACTCACGTGCGAGGAAATGCTGCTTCTGCGGCTGCTGCAGGCCGAGTCCAGTGGCTCCAGTTTGCTGATCACTTCCTCCAGCTGACCAATCAGCTGCTGCTGGGAGGCGGAAGTTAGCTGAGCCTTGAGATGCTCAAGTCGATCAATGGGGAGGGACTTCCTGGCCTGAAGAAATACAGAAGAGATGTAATAAATTCGCCTACTAATACTACACCCTAAAAGTATGTACTCTTTTTGTGAAGAAAAAGTAGATACTTTTGAGTGTGTAGCAAGAGTACACAAGCTTTGGCATATACTATCACGCAGTGGTGCACGATATACAGGCCGCCGATATAATATCAGTCGATATGGACAATTTTTTACACATCGGTATCGTTCCGATGTCAAATCAGGGCCGATGTGAACAGCCCGATAATCATTCCTGTGTATTTGACGTGTGTGTAGATGTGAGTGCGGGGGCGGGGATGTTTGTTTTTGCACGAGCGCATACATTACGAGCGCAAGTCCTGTCAGTTTAAACATCAAGCGCAAGAAGACTGGAACTTGCGCGCTATTTTCTGTCAGCCTTACGGCGTATTTTTGTCCCGCCAAAGCCTTATTTGACCGGTGAGTGATGTAGATGACTGACTGCTGCGCTTGTTTAACTGAGAGAACGAGCAGAGAGAGTGAAAGCCCCGGTCGCGCGCACTCTCACCATCTTCAAACGGTCTTGCTCTCTCTCTCCCTCGCGCATATTAATGAATTGAGTTGACCGAATATCTTTGAGAATACACGATGGTAAAAGGTCGGAAGACCGAAGTTTTTTTTTCTGAACTACCACTGGTTGTGAATTGTGCTAAAATAACATGGCCTTATCTTCTCTGAAAAGCTTTCCACACATTCAGATGACATAAACCACACTTTCAATAAACAAAAACAAAAAATCTATCTAGTGATGAAATGTTTTCTGTGTTGAGACAAATCTTGTGCGATGTCCGAAACTGCCTGGATAATCACACAACGTGTGCCGTGGTCCGTTAATGACTCGTCTGATTCGCGAACTGATGACTCCTTTGAAACGATTCACTTTAATGAACGGTTAAAACAACTGATCTGTCCAACACTGACTGAACTCAAGAGACATAGGGTCTCATTCATGAAACACGAGCAGAACGAATTTTTGTGTAAATCGTGTGTAAAGTGGTTCTGGCGTAAATTTTCGGAATCATTAAAATGTTCGTATTTTCCAAATGTAAGTTGGTACACAAGAAATCTACACCAGCTCCCAGCCACGCGTAAATAGTGCGCTTAACACCCGAACGTTTTGCTCATTAATAACTAAGCCTGCATTTTAATTCACCTTAATCGGGTACATATTTGCACAGCATTTTGCAAAAATATTATATATAGTAATTACATACGTTTTTTCTTATCATGAGAGCCAGTAATAGCATCTGCGATGGTGGTCCTTCTCCAGTTTGAATACTATTTTTCCGAAGTGAACTAATTCGTTTTTTGCTCTCAAGCTTAATGTCGAACCTTTTTCTTCTCACTTCTGGGAATGTTTGATTAACAGATGAAACTCCAGTAACTGCATCTGTAATGCTGCCAAGCTTCCTTTTTTTTAGGACCCGATACGCCACTATATGGACGCTTGAAAATAAAATGTGGCGTTTTGAATGAACTTCTGATAATAAAACTTCAATTTCTGCATCTGAGAATTTTTTTTTTTCATTCGCATTCATGTCATAATATGATGCCCATATATAGCTGTCAGTCGGATTTAATGGGCGGGATTTATGGTAATTGAGAATGAACGTGCACGCGCGTCCCATTTCCGACTGATTGGAATTCATTAACACACACACACACATTTCACTATCACATCTGACGTTTGCGAAGTATTTGTGAATCAGGAGAAGAGTTTTCGGGAAGGTCTCTTTACGCGCAAATCACTCGCATATTTACTCGTATATTTACGAATGTTTCATGAATGAGACCCATAAATCGGAAACACTTTACAATAAGGTTCAATTTATTAAAGTCTAGTTAACTACATTAGTTCACATTCTATTAATATTAGTTTCTATGCGGATTTACTCCATGACAAAACCATTCAAGTCATCTGGTGAAATTGTTTTTATATCGCAATATATATTGCAGAAAAATAAAATATCGCAATGTCATTTTTTACCAATATCGTGCAGCCCTAATCCTCGCTATGTGTTTTCTATACAGAGATATCGACATCGGTAAATATCGGTATCGGCCATAACAGCAATATTAATATCGGTTATCGGTATCAGCCACAATTTTCACATCGGTGCATCACTACTATCACGTCATACAATTGCGTCTTTAACGATCGCTCTCTGTCACGTCCTGTCACAGTAAACTGGCCTGTCAATCATCTTATCACAGTTTAAATCCTCCACATTTCATTTAATTTAATTTCCTACTGTATCAGAGAGAAATGCAGAAGCACGTTGATCAGCAGTCGCGTGTCTTTCATGCGGAGACTCTCCTCATATTAATGTATAATGATGCATTTAAAAGTTAATGGCCGAACAGATCTTTATAAAAGTCCACATTGTTATTGCAGATGGAATATAAATATTTCTTTATCAGGTTAAACTTTGATTAGTCACTCAAACCTTTATCTGAACCTCTCACCGTCGGTCGCGCATATCCGCCATGTTTTGTAGTTTTTAAACACTTTTTACTCGTGTTTGTAGTTCCTCCTCCAAAGCGCAATGGGTTGTGGGTAATATTAGCTGTTATAATAAACACGGATCCATCCTCTTTTTAACATACTATGCTTTGGGACACACTTATTTTAATCTCACATAGTGTTTAGGATAGATAGTATGAACATTGAGACGCAGGGAGAGACTATTTTTGGAATGAAGCACTAGCGTAATATTTAACGCACACTGAACAGTATATACTACCTCTTTCTTAAACTAGTGTGTAAAACAGTAAAATGCGTGTTAAATGTGTTCTTGTTAGTGCGTACCCTGGATGTAATAACGGTATGCTGGAACATGCAGCAGACGGTGGCGGCGAGCGTCCAGTTCTCCCTCTTCATCAGCCGCTCCACACAGCGCTCAGGTGACACCAGCAACAGGTGAGACAAACGTCCGTCACCATGGAGACAAAACACCTCGTTACGGAAAACTGAAATCTCCACCACATCTATAGGGGGAGGAAGACAGATATGGATTCAAGTGCCGTAAAATGATCAAAATGGTCAAATAATATATATTTAAAGTGTATACTTTTTATATATATATATATTTAAAAAAATGTTTTTTACTAATATATATTAGTAAACTAATATTAAAATAATACAAACCGGTATATAAAAAGATAAAATTGTAAAAATAACAAAAATAAATTACTTTTTCCCATAAATTTTTAAATATATTTGTATGTTTTTTTGTCAATTGGGTGATTTTATATTATTAATATTTATTTATTACCATAATTATATAACAATTAATTTTATAATAAATGTTACTTTTATAATAAATATTTTTAGGAAGATGAAACATGAGCTATAATATTATAAAAGAGGTAATACAATGTTTTTTTTTTAAAGTATATTTTGGAGTGAATATACTTTTGTGCATTCGTCACTCTCATGACCTCTCACCTTTGACCTCTGTCCACAGCAGAACCTGACCACTGTGAGGGGTGAAGATGTAGATGGCAGAATCCGTCCAGGTGAGCAGATTTTGCTCACTAAGAAACACAAAAAGTCAAATATTAACACCAAAACCGTTTCAAACCTGAGACGTTATCTTTGTAATCATAATACACACCGCAGATATGAAATACTGTGTCTTTACCAAAGAGGTCATGTGTTATTTTAATACAAGAAGTGGTTACCCAAACTGAAGGAGTCTTGGGAAAGCCAGAGATTGTGGACTCGTCTGTGCGGGATTGAAATGAGGCTCATTCCTGAACACAAGACATGTATAAATAAATACGAACTAAGGGCCAAATTTATGTCACAAGTAAGTGTTAAACACACAAACACACACTTGTAAGAGACGAGGGGCAGCGGTGGGCAGGCCAGCAGCTGTTTGAACTGGTGTGTGCTCAGGACTTCTCCACTGAAGCTGGACTCCCATATGCGTGAGCCGGGCCGGGCGCAGTACAGCAGGGCAGGAGGACCCCCCCCTTGACCCCCCTGACCCCGCTGACCCTGCAGGAGAAAACACGCCCCAAACTCTCCGTCTCGCTCTTTATTACCCACACGCCAGAACTTCTCCCTGAGAGAAAGAGAAACAGGAACAGACTGAATTTATTTCTTAAAAATATGTGTATGCATTAAAAGGGTCCTATTGTGCTTTTTTAAACATTTTCATCTTTCTTTCATGTGTAATATTGGTGTTTGAGCATGAAAAAGTTCTACAAAGCACAAAGTCCCTCCAGTGGGAGTTATTCTCTATATCAGTGTCACTGTTTCTGAACTCCTTGAAACACCTCCATTGTAGTTTCAGGAACGAACACGTCACAATATTCCTCATTTAAATAATTAATTCGCAGGATAAAGGGGCGGGGCCTGGTTGAGTTAGTCAGTAATGTGTTGAAACTGGCTGTTATGGTAAGGGGCTAATCACAACACACCAGCCGACCAATCAAAGCACACTGTGCTTTTCAGAAAGGAGGGGCTTGGAAGAGAGGAGCAGCAACAATGGAGAATTTGGGGAAAAGAATGTGTTTATTGAACATTCAAGTATGAAAACCTATTTTAGCAGACCAAGAAAACAAATCAAGAAATGTTCTTTTTTTTACATTTGATATACATTTAATCTAAGTTATGGTATGAGGACATGGGGAAATGTGATATCAATATTTGATATGATAAATTTGATCAAATAAAGACGCCAATTCATACATTTGCGTCAAGAATTCAAAGTGAACAAATAGTTTTTTTTAACTAATTGTGGGTAAAGGGACGTCTATGTTTCCTGCCAACACACACCTTTCTGTGTCACACAGGTAGCAGCGGCTGAGAGACGAGACCATCAAGTGTCCGTCCGTGTAACCCAGCTGAACGACACGAGAATCCAAAGTGGTGATGGTCTGAACTGGGAAGATCACAAACGCAGAGCCCTGTTTGGAAGCAAAACCAAACCACAAACAAACACACAAGCTCCGATTAGTAAAACAAATCGGTTTAAAAAATAATTTATCCCCTCAGCTGTAAAGTTTTTAAACTAAAGGTAAATTCCTTTTTAGGATGGATTTTATTTATTGTGTGTGTAGTGTGTGTGTGTATGACTTTGTATTATGTGTATGCTTGTTTGCTGCAACCAAATTGCCTTCGGGAAATTAATAAAGATGAACTGAACAAGCATAGATTCAAAATCACTAATTGTTATTTAAATTAAATACACTACCGTTCAAAAGTTTGGGATCAGTATGAACACGTCGTGAAAAAGTTCTCTAATACCTTCCCGAGTTTAGACGACCCAGCCCGGACGTAGGACACTTTTCCCCCGCCATCTCCAGCAAACACTCGGAGGGCCACGGTGTCCCAGCACAGAGATGTTACCGTCTGTCCGCGATGCTCCCAGGACACACACACGCGCTCCGGACGGCCACGCCTCTCCAAGTGCAGCTCCCACACCACCACCAGCCCCTGACTGGGGCACACACACAACATAAGCATCCAGATTGGCAACTACAAACACCAGGAGCACATATAAAGGCAGACGTGGCGAAGATGAATACCTTGTTGCTACAGCAATGAAGTCCTCATCATGGGGGCAGCATGAGACCTGCGTGATTGAGCCTTCCTAAATAAAGACAAAGAAGTAGGGTTGCCGCGGTGAGGAAAATTTCCCACCGGTTAATCGACGTGTCACAACACCGGTAATCCCGGTGTCACCGTGGGGGGCGGGGCGGGGGGGTTAAATAGCTTTTAAATGCGTGCGCGTTATACTTTCACTTTCGAAATAAGCGTCAATTGGCAATTCAGCGTCAATTGCTTGAATGGACAAAAAAACAACAACTCGGCTCGCTGATAATAAAACTTTTATTTATAGACAGAACTTTTATTAGCATAACGAACGAATAAAAATAACCCCATGCATAGGCTGAAAATCGTCAAACTGTGGGCCCAAACAAATAAGAACCATAAAACGTTTATTAACGAATAAGAAAATAAAACAGGCCTAAATAAATTACACATTCCGCCATTATCTTGCTTTTCTGTAATTTGACTCGTTCTCATCTCCACACGTGCTAAATGGAATCCTGATGCTTGCTGATCTGTGACGTGACTGGCTCTTGGCACGCACTGCGCAGTTCAGTTTTTAATTATAATGTATGCTCTCTTCTGAACTAAATAATTGATAATTATTATTTTTAATTAATTCAAATAAATATTTTAGCAAAAACGAATACTTTAAAAAAGTCAAGACATCGCGGTGTCACGGTGGGAAAGTGATGTCACCGGTGATGGGGCTTAAAACCGGTAACACCGTCAACACCGTCTATCGCGGCAAGCCTACAAAGAAGATACACACTAGCCACGTTTCCATTACAGATGTGTGCAAAAATTTTGCGATATTTTCTAAATGTCGATAAAAAACTATTGCGAAATGACGCCGTTTCCATTAACCGATGTTATGCGACTAAAGCGGCATTTTTCCTTTCGCGATAAACTGTACCAAAAATCATGGCAACGGCTGCACTAGACATTATTTTTAATCGAAGGAGAAGTGTGTGTGTCATTCTAGGATTAATGGGAAGGAAAACCCCTTATACTTGGTGTTTCTCATTTCTGCTTCAAGGTCTTGTTTTTCTTGTTATTGTTGCATTTCTTTGTTGTTTAGAATCCAGTATTGTATTCCCGTATTACTTTTGTCTTTTAAGAGTTTAATAAAGAACTGTCTCGTCTTCTGTCCGAACATACCTTATAATCTTTAAAGAATTATCAACTTTTACGTACACAGGTGACCTGTAAATGCGGAAAAAAAAACTGTTTCCATTGCAGTTTTGCAAAAAATTCCTTTTTCGAATTGCCTGAAAAACCACCTCATGCGAGCGTAAAAACTTTTTTGCGAAATATGGGAGTTTTTGCGAAATTGACGTGTTTCCATTGGGCGTATTTTCAAATTGCAATTTCAATTTGCGCTTTTTAAAGGTAATGGAATCGTGGCTAGTGATGCACACTTAAATTGTTATGGCCGATATTATAAATCTTTATTTTTTTAAAGAGCATCCGAGGACATTAACGTTTCTCTATGTGATGCATCACAGAAATCAGCAGGACTTTTTTTTACATTCTGTCCCTATTTTCACTCGTCTCTAAACACTTCCTGCTTCCTTGCTACTTTGAAAAACACTTTTCGTGAGTCAAAGCAGAGCATGATGTAAGTGAAAGATGATACCGATATAGACGACAATAAATAGTGCATCACTACTCCGACTATGACTGTGTGATCAATAACTACTTCACAGTGCCAATAAAACACAGGAAGAAGCAAACACAGCATGCATACACCATTACAGACTGCACAAAGATTATTACACACATTTGATAACATTGTACAATAGCATTTCAACACCGCTGATAGTTCTATGCATCAACTGTGTTAAAGGGGAACTTGTGAAATGGGTTGTGTTGTGTGTACTTTGTGTGTGAGGATGAGTTTCTGCTTCCAGCCGTCTCTCTGAATGAGGTGAAGTCCTCCGGAAGACGTGCCCAGAGCGAGCCACTTTTTGGACACTGAGAGGCATGTGCACTGCGGGACACAGACAGACAGAGAAGGGCATTAGAGTGAATCTCACAAAATGTACAGGTCACATTTCGTCCTGAATTTAGAAAGAAAGAAATATAACATTACTGATTGCTTAATGGGATAGTTCACCCAAAAATGAAAATCTGTTATTAATTACTCACCCTCATGTTGTTCCAAACCCGTAAGACTTTCGTTCATCTTCGGAACACAAATGAAGATATTTTTAATGAAATGTGAGAGATTTCTGTCCCTCCATTGACAACTACCAGTTTGACACTTCAAAAAGTTCATAAAGAGATCGAAAATTCAATCTGTTCATCATATAAAGCGATCGAGTCTCTTTAGAAAATTTGGACTAAACCGCTCAATTCATATGGATTAGTTTTACAATCTGAACTTTTTGAAGCTTGCTAGTTGCGTAGTTGTCAATGGAGGGACAGAAATCTCTCATATTTCATTAAAAATACCTTCATTTGTGTTCCGAAGATGAACAAAAGTCGTACGGGTTTGGAACGACATGAGGGCGAGTTATTAATGACAGAATATTTAGAAAATAGCTATGAAGATAATTTTCATGACAATTAAGCCACCCAGATGTCATTAACGTAATGAAACAATAAAATAACCATCATTATTAAAATTCAAAAATATTACATGCAACATTTAAATCACAATTATATATAAATAGTTATTTTTCAGGATTCTTTAACTGCATTTATATGAAATTGAAATCTTTTGTGACATTGTAAATGACATTTGATAAATGTAATGTTTTTGATTAATAAAAGTAAAGTATGCATTTCTTTAATTTCTAATAATCTGTGATGTCACAATGCAAAAAAAAAAAAAAAAAATTGTAATGTTCTTAATAAAAAAATTTGTTTTCCTTTTGGTTTTGGGGTGAAACTACTTGACCCGAACATGTTTTGTCTAATTCATCTACTAAATTATTCCCCTTTATTATTCTTATGGCATGAAATCAGATAAATTGAACAGAATCTGAAAGACGTTTAATTAAGCTCCCTCAAAGGTAGGTCAGCTTGGATAACAGTTGCCATAAAAGCTGTACAAATAAACACTTCTACTCTTTCACAATTGCTGAGGTAGTTGAGTAGGTAAGTGCGTATGTTACTTTGATACGTCCCGAGTCCAGTCGCAGGGCGGAAAGGAGGGGGTCCAGACAGTCAAACTCTGCCAGGACATGAGTGCAGGACTCCACAGGAACCACGGGAATCATCCTGCACCGGCCTGAGAGGAAACAACAATAACATGGGCTTTTTAGTGGGAAACATTAGTGAATGTGGCATGTTTGTCTAACTAGACAGTATTTTGGTGTAGCCTATATATCATAGATGCATTTTTTTTAGGCATCATGTGTATTCCAAACAGCAACTTTGGGCAGATTATGCATGCACAGCATGTTTTAACAAGCAACCAATCAGAAAAATATATGCAAACATTGTTACCAGGTACACAAACATTCAAACAGGTGATTTAAGAGCCAAATCAGCAGCACTTTTGGTCATCATAAGTGTGTTCTGAGTCTGATTATGCCTAAAAATGAGCCCTTAATAGGCAGCAGCACAGTGAGCTCACTAGGTTGAGACACAGCCTTCCTCAGAGTCATATGATTCCAGGGAAATTCAATTGGAAAAGCATGACTACCACGCATCTCTCCTCTATTTTTAAGTGATTTTCCTTTGCTTTTCCACACAAAAATAGTTCCATTGAAGGACAATATATACAGACATAAACTGTATAAACTAGATGATGCTTAAACTAACCAAATATAAAACAAAAACGTAATATATAATCTAGTTTGGGGCACTTTTATTCTCTTTATTTGTTTTTCACACATTTGAAAGTCAGCAGAAAAGACAAAACGCTTACTCTCACACACATATGACCACTTCCGCTTAGTTTTGAACACATATTTACAAGAGTTAATTTTATGAAAAACTACACAACGTTAAAGGTGAATCTCAAAGTTAGAAGTTATAAATCAAAACGCCGCGTTAGCCGATTAGCATGACTGTCAATCACGAGATCCGAGTTTAAAACTCGCCAAAACAGCAATAAACATCGATTAAATCTATTTTTGTTTGAGTTTTTGTCTTAAAAAAACAATTTATTTAAGGTCAAAGTTGCTGCTGAGCTGGAAATTTAGGTACTTTCACAATCAACGTTTTAGTTTCTACTTCTCCTCGTCATTCCTTCCTTAAATCTTTAGTTATATCATTTAAACGTTAAAGGCAATATATACAAAAACATTTTTAAACGTTATTTGTTTTATAAATAAATAAGTTGAACTTATTTGAGTTGCTAAATGTCACCTTAAGCATTTCAATAACGTATTAAACATGAATTAAGATGTATAAACTCGTTTATTTTACCTCCTCCTGAGTTCCAGACGCATTTAAATCTGCGAAACCTCCAGAAATGTAGTAAAAATGAATCATTTAGTGTGTAAAGTGACGATCATGTGTGTCTTTTCGCCACTGTAATTCCTCCTGCAGTGTGTTTGACAGCTGACTGAAAACTGACCGGCGCTACTTCTCCATAGCGATCGACTCATTGTGACGCGCAGTGATTCACACTCGCCCGGGGACCTATTTCTGGCGCCTTTGGACCTCACTTACTATCAAATACATAGGTAACTTTATGTACTCAAAGGCAAAACTTAAAATATCTTCTAATCATGCAAGAAAAAACATTCAAGTATTATTTGAACATATCTGCTTTACAAACAAATGATTCTCAAAGACGCGTAGGTGTTCCAGCTGTAGTTCGGGGTCCATTGGTCCATTAAAATCTCTGGTTGGTATTGATTGATATTTGAGACGCCCAGGAGAATAAAGCCTGTTCCATCACCAGAAAGCAAAAATAGCCAAGATTCGACCCTCAAACATCTTACGCCCTTGTAATTAATGTGTTTAAGCACCATATACAGATAAAGATGTAGGAATTATAAAGGTATTATAAAGATAACCTTCACTAGCTGCAAGCACAGAATGACTTAACTGAACTGTATGGTGGATCATGAGAAGAGAATATAACCTACAACAGTATTGATTACAGCATAGAGTCTGAGACCAATACAAAAAGAGTTAACTTATTTAATGATGCAAATGGGTTTTCAATTGATTAGTGGCCTACTGTAGAAACGGTGCAGTCTTAATTTTTAGTTGCTCAAAATCTCTTTGTTTTACATTAAGCTGCTCAATTCGGTTTGAGCAGACATTATTCGGTACAAACCATGTCTGGTCAAAGTGTGTGGCATTTGTTCTATGTTTACATAGATGTATTGGTCTAACAAAGGGTTTTCAAACTGAGTACCACAAGGAAGTAGTGGTTGTTTAGAGAAAAACAGTGCAAAATTCAATTCCTGTCTCTGAAAACACTAAAATAAAGTGTTTCCTCTTCAGGGGTTTTATAGTGTAATATAACAGCTTCCTCGCTGATGGTTACCTGAGTATTTAGAGGAAGCTCTTGTAATGAAACACACCAGTTTAATTGTTTAAATCTTGACTTTATTTGAAATAACATACACAACTCAGTGCAGCTAGAGAAGACACATTATGAAGCAGTGCGGATGAGCATGTACACGTGTTTGTGACACACAGATCAGTAATTGCACTACATAGAAATTATTATTACTATTATTTTTACAGTATTGCTATACCCCTCCCCTTGGCATGACTTGAGCGACTGATTTCCAATCAGCCTCAAGTCTTGGGAGGATTCGAACTGGATTGCAATATCCGATTTGTAAAGAGTCCTTTTCCTTGACTTAAAAGCTTTTCCCTCAAACCGAGTCCTTTGCATTAAACGTTATAAGTTCCTGAGATCTGTCCATGGTATTATTGAGCCAAGTTTGGTCATTGTAGAAATACAACTCTGTTAAAATGTCACATCTTACCTAGGAAATGAAATTATCCACTGAAAAAAAAAACAAAAAAAAACGGGAAAGGCAAAAAACGGAACGGAACGAACAAAGTAAAAGAGAGAAGTACATAATTACAGTTATTTCTGACTGGTGCAGCCCATCTCCAAGTGGACCAATATGATGACAGAATTTGCTCTCTTCAAGCCCCTCCCCCAGGCAGACACGCTCACTAGCACCTCCAGCTCTGATTGGCTGGAAAATCCGCCCATCAGGCCCCAGTCGGCCCAAGCTGGGAGAGTGTGTCTTTGTTCCTCTCCCTTTTCTTTAAATTCACCCAGAGTCTTTTCTATCTTTCATCTTTTTTCTCACAGTCTCCTCAGGTTTTTCTCATCATTCGGCGCGTTTGCCAGGCTTGGAACTTGTTGTACGCAGCCTGAAGCATTTCCTCCAGGTGGCCCGTTAGCTTTTGCAATCAGAAAACACAGGAAATTAATATGTAGTTCCACTGTAAGTGCATCAGAATATTTATAAATGCCCTTAAAACCTTTTAAAATTTCACATAATATAAACAAAAATATCAAAAAGCACGGTTTATATATGGAAAAAATCCAAATACAGGAATCACACTAGAAATTATAGACACCTTAAACCTCAAATAACATACATTTTAGCACAGAATAATTAAATTATGTAGTTTAACAAAAGTATAAGTTGCACAACTGCAGAATTGAACTCTGTTTGCATCATTAACTCATTATTTTCCTGTTTATGCCTGTAAAGCTGCTTTGAGTTTGAAACAATTTGAATTGTATAAAGCGTTATAGAAATAAAGGTGACTTGACTAAACCCTCCAAAATATCTTACCACATTGACTTTCGTTGTAGGTGCTTTACTGTATCTTATTTTGAATCATAAACTCTTCAACCCTCTGCTACTCTTCACTTTTAAGGGTCACACTCGTGATCCTCGGCAGTAACTTTTCTTAATGAAAGGAATGTACTATATTTTGTTGCAAAAATATGAATTATTGAATAGGGGATTTCATGGACCTCACCTACAGTGTTCACTATAAACTATGTACCATTTATTTCTATATAATTCAATAAAATATATAAATAGTCTTTATGCATTAAAAATATATAGCTGGGTTTTAAAATTTACCATTCATTTCCTATGGCGGTCATTGACCACAAAGATCACAAGTGTGACTATTTTTTAAGACCATTTAGCATTATCTAAATCATCATGTCCACATTTTTTGTGTTCATATAAGAAGTGCCACACAAGAGGGTTGAACAACACTCTATCCTGAACCAGTTTTTCCACACAATTGTGGAAATGGCCAATTCTGAAAAGCATTAATTATTCATGTGTACTCTAAGCAGTATTCAAAGAACCCATTACAGTAAATGGAGGGGGTGTGGTCAGGGGCGTGGCCTTACATTAGTGCTCAAATACTGCCGTTGGATCTTCTCTTGAAAGGGGCGGAGCTTCGTCAACTGGAATCTCTCCAGGTTAGATTTCATCTTTACCACCTGTATGCAGGAGGGAGGGACAGATAAAACAAATCATGTTGCAAAAAAACAATACAAGTATAAAATATATACTGAGGCACTCGATTAATTAGTTTTTTGAAAAATATAAAAAGCCTTTATTTTTTAATGGCTTAGATTTTAAAAACAGGTGATAAGCTGTTCACTTGTCAAATTAATCGAGTGACTTGGATTGTTTTTCTTATGAGTGGAACCATCACTACACCCAAAGAGCACAGAGATACTGAAGGTGCAGCACTTTTTGCATTCCTTGTATTTATAAAAATATATACAGGTCCTTCTCAAAAAATTAGCATATTGTGATAAAGTTAATTATTTTCCATAATGTAATGATAAAAATTAAACTTTCATATATTTTAGATTCATTGCACACCAACTGAAATATTTCAGGTCTTTTATTGTTTTAATACTGATGATTTTGGCATACAGCTCATGAAAACCCAAAATTCCTGTCTCAAAAAATAGCATATTATGAAAAGGGTCTCTAAACGAGCTATTAACCTAATCATCTGAATCAACTAATTAACTCTAAACACCTGCAAAAGATTCCTGAGGCTTTTAAAAACTCCCAGCCTGTTTCATTACTCAAAACCGCAATCATGGGTAAGACTGCCCCGACCTGACTGCTGTCCAGAAGGCCATCATTGACACCCTCAAGCAAGAGGGTAAGACAGAAAGAAATTTCTGAACAAATAGGCTGTTCCCAGAGTGCTGTATCAAGGCACCTCAGTGGGAAGTCTGTGGGAAGGAAAAAGTGTGGCAAAAAACGCTGCACAACGAGAAGAGGTGACCGGACCCTGAGGAAGATTGTGGAGAAGGACCGATTCCAGACCTTGGGGGACCTGCGGAAGCAGTGGACTGAGTCTGGAGTAGAAACATCCAGAGCCACCGTGCACAGGCGTGTGCAGGAAATGGGCTACAGGTGCCGCATTCCCCAGGTCAAGCCACTTTTGAACCAGAAACAGCGGCAGAAGTGCCTGACCTGGGCTACAGAGAAGCAGCACTGGACTGTTGCTCAGTTTTGCATGTTCGGAAATCAAGGTGCCAGAGTCTGGAGGAAGACTGGGGAGAAGGAAATGCCAAAATGCCTGAAGTCCAGTGTCAAGTACCCACAGTCAGTGATGGTCTGGGGTGCCATGTCAGCTGCTGGTGTTGGTGCACTGTGTTTTATCAAGGGCAGGGTCAATGCAGCTAGCTCTCAGGAGATTTTGGAGCACTTCATGCTTCCATCTGCTGAAAAGCTTTATGGAGATGAAGATTTCATTTTTCAGCACGGCCTGGCACCTGCTCACAGTGCCAAAACCACTGGTAAATGGTTTACTGACCATGGTATTACTGTGCTCAATTGGCCTGCCAACTCTCCTGACCTAATCCCCATAGAGAATCTGTGGGATATTGTGAAGAGAAAGTTGAGAGACGCAAGACCCAACACTCTGGATGAGCTTAAGGCCGCTATCGAAGCATCCTGGGCCTCCATAACACCTCAGCAGTGCCACAGGCTGATTGCCTCCATGCCACGCCGCATTGAAGCAGTCATTTCTGCAAAAGGATTCCCGACCAAGTATTGACTATTGAGTGCATAACTGAACATAATTATTTGAAGGTTGACCTTTTTTTTGTATTAAAAACACTTCTTTTATTGGTCGGATGAAATATGCAAAATTTTTTAGACAGGAATTTTGGGTTTTCATGAGCTGTATGCCAAAATCATCAGTATTAAAACAATAAAAGACCTGAAATATTTCAGTTGGTGTGCAATGAATCTAAAATATATGAAAGTTTAATTTTTATCATTACATTATGGAAAATAATGAACTTTATCACAATATGCTAATTTTTTGAGAAGGACCTGTACTACTTCCTAATTTTTATATGGAAATATTTTAATTTGAAGTAATTGCAGGTGTACTCCTTGACCTTCTCCTCCAGGAAAGGAGTGCTGACGGGGAAACAGGACCAGAAGTGTCGGAGCAGCTCTCCAGCGGCCGTGTATAAGTGCTTCAGCTCGCCCTGAACATCAGTGGGCACTAATTCTATAGAAATAAACACAAAGAAAGAATAGATCAAGTTAATGGACAGTAAAATGCCTTAATGAGACTTCAAATGCCTGGTT